TAATCCAAGGAGTCCTCTCTTCGCATTAGGTGACCAAATACACACTTAGTTCTAAGTTATTCCTGATGAAGTGTAAAGTACCCCAGCGAGAGAGAGATGAGAATCATCCATTAGGCTGATATCAGTGCAAAACAGCAAAATGCCCCATTTGCTCCCTAAATCTCTGTCAGTTTGTATTGATAGCCAAAGAGTAAACTGACTCTCACGATGCTCCACAGTCCTGTTCCTACAGAAATCTCACAAGAAGCTATTCTTTTAAAATAAGATGCCAAAAGTCAGCATGATTTATGTAAATAGTGGAACTAGTTTCAGTTCATCTATTTAAACACTTAGTTCCCCATTTCTAGACAGTTTAAACTAAAATAACCAACCATAGTCGACAGAGATGTATTTCCGTACTTTCAGCCGAGCACAGTTGCAAAAGAGACAGATCAGAACCATTGTCACAAGGACCTGATTTCTTTGTTTTCTTCATCTCTGTCCCAGCGAAATACACCATTTAGAATTAGCAATATTGGTTTATCCTGTATCTCATTTGCTCCATGCATTTTCCAGGTGCAGAGTCAAAATCATCTTCATCTATCCAATCTATACTCCTGGCCAGTTGGTCAAGTCTGCAGCAGTCTCAAGCTGAATCCCCAGAAAAATGCTTCCAAGAGAAGAAGATGGCATCAGGTACACTTTTTAAAAAGCTAATCTTATTGTCCCCTCTGAAAGTATGGGTATGGCTGGGTCGGTGAGTGTTATGCAAGGGATTACTTTTGCATTATGGTAAAGCTGGACCTGTAGATAAGGCATGTACTATAGAATGAACTTCAGGATCTATTTCAGAGATAATTGGGTCTCCAAAGAAAAGACAATCTTTAGAAAAGGTCAAGACACACATTGGCATACATATTAGCCCTGAATCTGGCTAGTTTATTACTTCTGCAGAAAGGAGGCAAGAGTCCCCAAGATCCTTGAATTTCTGTCTCATAGAAGACAAAGAAGGGAGAAACAAATTGTTCCTGTTGGAAGCTTCCAATTCAAGGTGCCACTGCATGGCATGGAGGTTTCAGGCCTTCAATTTCCCATCAGGGAGAAGGAGGAATAAATGCAACTGCCCATAAAGGTGCTTGAAGTGCCTTGAAGAGACGGTTCCTGAAGGAACAGTTCCTTTTTCACTGCTATAGCAGTGGTAAAGAAAGAGCTATCTGGTGGAGTATAATATGAATGGGGCATGGGTGTATGTATGTAAGCGAAAAGGATAGTCCAGTAGACTTTGAGTCTTGAGCCAGACCATTGTTACCCTAATCTCACAATATGCTCCCAGGTGTCTCTACCTCTGATGGCAAAGAAAGGTTCCTCATTCTTGAGTTAAACAAAGTTCAGTGGCATGTTAGGGCCATTTCACACTGTGAAAATGTTGTTGCTGTGGCTAAATTGTAACTATTCACATTCTAGGAGCCATCATTTCTCAGGGTCCTTGGTGCAGAGTGACTTCAATTAGCAAAATGCCTGCACCCATCATACAGGATGAGATTAGTATAAGAAATGCTAGTGTTATTTGGACATAACTCTAGAAAATATGCTTACCATATAACATCTGGCTTGTCACTTTTTCTTTTTTTTTAATAGTATTTTATTGAGATTTTAATATTACAGTTAAAAGTTAGAAATGAAAAAGAAAATTGAAAATACAAATTATAAAGAAAAGGAAAAGA